TGTTAGCACTTACGGATACTTACAAAATACAAGACTAGTTTTGGGGAAATTCATGAGCAGTTGCCTATCTTCTTTTCATCTAGACTAAATGACTGGGATAGCATGTGCATATAAGCCATGTCCACAGTGGTTCTGGTCTGCTTAATCTATTTACACATAGATGGTTCCACACAGGTTTAGTCACCATGGAGGCAATTTTTAAGCCTACCTATCTCACCTATTTATACTTTCCTCTGATTTTTGAAAAGGTTCTTTGTATTCTTTATTGCTATCTATATTTTCAATAACAATATAATAATCATAATAACAAAGATAACAAATAACAGTATTGATATAAATAGCATAAGCAAAGTCCTAATTATTCAGGTAACTGGGAAACCAGGTGAAGTCACATAAAACCTACTAATCGACTCCATCAACATAATAAAATTCACAAAACAAAACTAAAATGGAAGGTACATTTACCCAGTACCTAGGGATTAAAATTTCATAGCAATATCATTTTAAATCCTTTCCTTTTTTTCAAAAGCCTATACTAATTTTTAAAATCAACTTACTGTAAAAACCTCAGGACTTAGGAATTCAAGGGACAGAGCATCAGGATCCGCTAACAGCTGGTAGAGTGCTGAGCCAGGAGAGGAAGAAGGCAGATCAACAACATCCGAGGGAGATTGACCCCTGGCCATGCGAGTCACCCATGTCTCACATCGTCCCAACTCAACTAGGGCCGCTCCCAAACCACAGCCAGGTACACGAACGAGATGTGTATCCACTAAGGCTCCCACTGATGAGTGCACATAATCCTGAAATAATAATATAAAGCCTACATATAGTTACATACCAACAACATAAACTTACCGCATCTTATCAATGCTCTTCATCTGTAAGGTAGTCCTGACAAAGCTTCTGTAAGAAGGAAAGAAAGAAGAATAAAGACGAAGACAAGAGGCATCAGATGGCTCACCCAGTGTGTATTATGGTTCCAGGCCAAACCAGCAGAAACCAATATAGGCGGCCAGGCAAAGACAAGTGGTGTGAGGGCTGCGCTGCTCGACCAATGAGCAACCACCACTCCTCCAGCTCCTCCGTCGACTCCACTCACCACACCACTGTACACATTACTCACACCAGCTTCTGGCCACCTGTGGATATATAGAAACAAATTACTTTGTAGTGCTTACTGTAAGTGCAATCTGTAATTAGAGAGGAGGATATACATCTATATTTTTGTACCTGTCTTTGTTCATTTTCATATACTGTGCCATTTATCCATGTCTGTATTTTTTTATTTTTTTATTTTTACCACTTCTTCCTAAAAAAATCACATATCAAAATGTATTTTTCTTTTATAAAAGACATTTTTAACCTTAAGTCTAATTGAGAAATATTTAGATTCTGACAATGCTTACTGCTTGAAAATAAGACCAACGCTGAACCCTGTACATCAGTGTTGATTAAAAAATGTAGATATCCACTACTTCAAATCTGGAAGTTAACAGTAGTATCTAAAAAAAATTTATACGACCTAAAACTTACCCACTTAAACTGCTCCACGCTGCTGTACCTGGGCAGACAGCCAACGGGCGTCCATTCTCTAGTGCAAGCTGGACTCCACGTGAGAAATCATAGTCAGCCTGCAATCCATCATGAACATTAGTTAATGCAATTTGACTTTTATATTTTAATTTTAATACAATCTTCAACTTCTATAGTAACCCACTTTCTATAATCATATTGTTTTAAAAAAACTCTTGACAAAGGCATAGAGTAAAAGGCCAAGATTTAAGGAATGGATAGGTTTAACGAAAACTATTCTGCCTGAATACAGCAAATCGCCAGAGGAAAACCAACCTGGAAGCCGTATTCTACAAGAATAGTAGTTGGCGGAAGGCATGCTAATTCCCGGCTCTTATTGTGGAATACATTGGCACAAACTAAAAGCACAGCTGATGGAGCCAGACCCAGCTGCGTCCAGGGGGACATGCGAATAAGGGAAAGACCAGGCTCGGGTGAGGCAGCTGTACTGGCATCAGCTAGCAGCGAGGTCAATCTGGGGCCAATATGAACATATCTGTAAAACAAAAACATGCATAATTGTAAATGAGGAATCCAATATTACATATATACAGATAGACAGATATATAGGTAGATAGAAGATAGAAAGAATAGATGGACAGAAGATAGAAAGAATAGAAAGAAGATAAAAAGAACAAATAGACAAAAAGATAGATAGATATCTATCTATCTATCTATCATATATATAAACAGAAAGACCGAAATACTAGTATGTATATATAACAAACATATTTGTTAATTATTCAGCTACACCATTACTTAAAGCACATAGGAAAATAATGGATAAAGAAATATTTCTATTACCGAGCCGAAGGGAAGTGAGTGAGTGTTGCACTAACTATAGCTGTGACGGCACTAAGTTGTCCTGTGGGTACTGAACCCTCTACGTCAAATGCTGGTACCAAAGTAATGCCCCGATCCTTGCAGTACCGATCTAGTGACACAACTTCACTGTGGAGAAAAATTGGATATATAAATTATCTTCAAAATAAACTCTACAAAATCCATATCTCTTTCAGTAAATGCTATAAGTTTCCTATACAGTATCAACATCTGCATATCAACTCTTTCATGAATTTTACAAAAGAATACCATAAATGTTGCTTTCCACAGCTATCATACATTATCTTATTAGCCTAGACCAAACAATGTATGTCAAAAAACTAAAATAAATAAAAATAAATAAATAAATTAATTAAAATAATAATAATAATAATAATAATAATAATAATAATAATAATAATAATAATAATAATAATAAAAAATCAATTGTATACTCAACATACAAAACCATACCTAGGGGAGTAGGGTAAACTGCAGGCAACTGGTGAGACACGCATTAATAGGTGTAACTGATTCATCTTAATAGCAAGGAGAGAGTCTACTATTTGGCATAACCGCTCCTGAAAATTAAAATCAATATCTAGAAAATCTATAGATGGGATAATTAATATTGGATATACATAAAGCTACTTCAATCACGAGAGTGAAGAAACAGATGGCAAATTCTTTTTAGAAAATCATATCACACATCCATGAAATGGTATATGCATGAGAATCCTCTGTGAAAAATACATAACAAAGTATATAAATAATTGCGTGGGTGTATAAAATTGAACATAATTTGAAAAATGCAAGCCTGATACTGCCTTTTACAATATTTAACTTATTTCCAAGAACCAGTGTACAACGAACATTAATCCCAATACAGCAAACAAAATTGCTCCTCTACTTACTAATGTTGGAACTCTTGCATGAGGTGCAACATCGAGCATAAAACCCCGGTGTGGCAGAGAGGGACTGTCGGTAATGACTAATGGTGGAACAACCCCTTTCTCGCTGCCCTCTCCACCTAGTCGGCACACCCGTAGCAACTGAACGAGGGTTACTAGGGCATTATGAAGGCTATCTACTGATCCACAAACCATCTTTACCTGGAATAAATAAAAGCAAATTTACTATAGGTTTTCTTTTTCTCTTCAAATATCATCATATCAACTTCATTCATTACACTGACTGGTTTTTGCTCTACAAGGGAACCACATGGTTGCACTAACTTTATTATCCAGTATGGTGAGCGTGTATTGATGAGGATGAGCTGTGAGAGCATCATCGACTACACAAGTGAATGTATGTGAGCTTGGAGGGTCTCTTGCACCAACGACAGCTCCAAGGCTGACATGACAACCCACTTCTTCCAGCCAGCACTTATGTATATCCCAAACATCTACAATTCTGTAAATAAAAAGCAGACATTATCTATGGTTCATCACCCAATTCTAGAATGAAAAATAAAGACCAGTGAGCACTGAAAAGAGACACACTTACCTATGCACAGGTACTGCTCCAGATAACACAGCTAAAGTGGCATGTGTTGGTGGCGACCAACTGGGGCCAGTAAGCTCAGTGATCCGACGAGGTTGGGGCCACAGTAAATGAAGGGAATTATGGGTAACCAAAGGCCGTGGAGGCGCTGTGATTTGTGTGGATGCCAGGCGCTCACAAACCTGCAAATGGATTACCATTAAGTTATTGAACTTTGTGAGTACTTTAGTTATTATCCACACAATCAATATTAGCTTATCTTCCTGTAGTGCAGAAGCAACCATCTGAAATATTTATAACTTCTTACATATAAAAAGGAAACAGAAAATCAAATAACTTACATACCTTTGTACCAATAATTGAACCTTTTTTCAAACAGCATGAAACTTTAGGTCATTATGCATTACAAACTTTTCACTTAAATGAAGAAAATATTAACCCATATGCGCCAAGTATCACTTATCATGCTGTCCTCAACTAGCTGCTGCTTCAAAAGCCATAATGAATCTCAACACTATACTATTCCAAGAGCACGATTTTACAATAAAATTTCTTTATAAGAGTTGGGCAAAAATACTAAGTCTGTCTCAGAAGTATAGTTATTCAAGTCTTACATTAGTAGTTTAGGAGTTATAGTATGTATAAGGTGAGCATAAATACAACTGTGCCCAGCATGGGATGATCACCATGCTTAAACAGCACTGCTGGAAAAAGATAAAAAATATATGCACCTTATCAAACCTTGAAACCCTTAATTACCTGTTCCATGCGAGGACTGAGTTCCAAGGACGATGTGGATTGCAAAGGAGAGCGAGGTTGTGGAGTTCCCACTGAGGTTTTTCTTTGCGTTGTATCCCCTCCATTGACAGCATCAACCCCTGTCATTACGCTGTCAGCACCCATGCTCACTAACGATTCCATGGAACCATTTGCTCCTCGGGACGAAATGAGATCTGGAAATCATCAAGCAATTATTTAAGCAAATAAAATGAAATGAATATCATACTTCAACAATTGTATACATCTCTTAGATATATATTCAAGAGAGAGAGAAAAAAAAAAATTGAAGACTGCTCTACACAAACCCACCCCGATCTCCTAATGAACGACGGGCTATTAAGGGTGAAACGCTGCCATTTGTCGTTGCCGTACTGTGTGCTGGTTTACTCTCAATAGCTGCAGCATGTTGTTGCATAAGTTCCTGGAGCTGAATCTTTCTTGATGCCATCTCAAAAGGTGTTTTCCCTTTATGGCGCCTGTAAGTAGTTCATAAGTCTTTTGAAAACATAAAAAAAATAACAATAAGACTATAAGTTTCCCCCCCAAAAAATCCAATAAAAAAGGCACATCTTTATAAAAACTGAAATTTGTAATATAGCAAAAATTTGACTCCCAAACACACAAAACATCTACCTTAGCCCAGTCTCACCCTTTGTAACACTGAATATGGGGATTGGCATCATTGTCAAGAAGGATTCTCACAATCTCCTCATTTCCTCGGGCAACAGCATCATGAAGGGGGGTGGCACCATCGCTGTTGGCGGCATTGACATCTGCTCCGCGGGCTAAATTGAGGACATGAACGTAATTGTCAGTACTGGTAACTCAAGAGAGAGCTGCTGAGTTATGATACTCATGGATTTATTTTATACTAAAGCCTTAAAGAATGAAGGAGAAATTGCACATTCTTGATGTTAAATTATGACTGTCAGTGATTTTCCAACTGAATTTTGGTAATATTCTGTTACATCATTTGACATATTGCCTGCAGTTTTGTTTGTCTTCTCTTGCCTTCTTTCACTGGTTTTCATACTGAGCTTATGCCCCCTCCCCCCAAAGAAAAAAAAGAAAAAAAGAAAAAAGAAAGAAAAAAAAAAAAAGAATTACATATCTAATGTAATTTTTTTTCTACTGTGTAGGGCAAAAAGCTCATCACAGACAAGAATATTTTGTGATAAATAGCAAGTGCTATCAATAAAGGAGAAATTGCAGTTCACTACTTTCACTCGACAAGCTGCTCCTTCTCAACCAAGGCAAATAATAGAACTTAATACTTCACCACACTGTTTGAGAGAGACAGTATATTATAACACAGAGTATATAATGATACCATGTTAATCCAATTTGCATCAGCAGTTTAGTGCTTATGGAGAGTAAAATTTGAGCAAAAATACAACCACTGCGCCAAGCCAGATTCACCAAACCTAAACAATCCCAGCCCTGGGGTTAAGCTAATACTATTGATGCATGTAAAAAGAATGCTGTGTTGGCTTATTCACATATAGTTTCAGAAAATTACCTGAGAAAATTATACACATGCTTAAACAGCCATTTCCACATGCTTAGCAACTACCACAGTTTGCAAGTAATAACTACATTAACAATAATAATCAACTAAATAATGTGTAAGCCAACAGAGATGAAATCATTAACATGTGTAAAGTACCTATATTATTGACTGATAACTGATTTATGATGAGTTTTCCAATTAACTATCTTTAATACAGTAAAAAGGCTACAAAAATATATAATAATAAAAATAACACAAATATAAATACAAAGCAAATAAGAATCAATGGCCAACAATCCATATAAAAAAAAGCACAGTTAACATTACCTAAAAGGCAGGTAAGTGTGTCGATGTCAGCAAAGGAGGCAGCCCAGTGTAGGGGAGTGTTGCGGCTTAGTGGATTATCATGGGAGTTGATGCTAAGGCCCGCTGCAACCAGCTGACACACGCGGCCTACACTACAACCATAACATAGTACATTACAACCCCTTACAGGCAAATAAGTCTATAACAAGATACTTTTTCTCTCTCTAATATTCTAGTCTATATCTTATAACTCAAGCACATGTAATCTTTGTTCCTACATTAAATGATGAATGTATGGAAATTCAACATTAACTGTAAACATCTTTATGCTTTCATAAATAATGATCTATAATTATACCAAAAACATTTATACGTTCATACACTTGTACCAATGAACACCTGTAGATCTATACCACCTGTGCATAAACTACAAACTTAACATAAATTCATACATGGTATTTCTCCACATTAACAACCAAAGAATTATAACAACTACTCAGTTATATCACTTAAAACAGTACAAGAACTGTAAAGAATATATACTGATACTTCCAAAGGTCTTTAGCTCTTCTGAATTCATACTTATTAACCGTTTCACACAAACAAATGTAACAATTACCTCAAAAATCGCTACTCAAACATAGCCACAAACAATCCCTAAAATCAATTAATGATCGGGGAATTCATGCAAAACATCCCATCTGTTCTTACTCTGACTGGGCCGTTGCTCGTAGTAGCTCTTCTGTGAAGATGGCGATGATGGGAGGGGTAGGGGCTAGCTGTAGAGGGGTGTTTCCATCATTATCTTGAATTCCTGGATCAGCCCCTGCAGCCAACAATGCTCTCACGATATCCCCGCGGCCAAGCTGCAAGTGAGGATTTACTTTTAGTTACGTGTCTACAGGTGTGTGCATGTAAGCATGTCAATAGAGAATGGAGGCAGACAGGATTCCACATGTGCAGATGTGGAATGTCTGAGTTTTATACCTTTTTTTTTTATTCCCCTCACCCTACTGCATAGATGAAAGTGGTGTGTTGGCATACCATAAAACTGCTTAGATATTTACAAAATAGTAATCATTCAAGTTTTCAGATAACTAAAACTACATTACCTTTGTAGCCATGTGCAAAAACGTTCCATCTTCTGTTGCAAGGGAATTTATCAACTGCTTTCGTTCGTCTTCACCTCCACCATAACCTAAAGATTAGGAAAATTACATCTTCCATATTTTAACATCCTTATCACAAATCACCTTTTCTTTATTAAGGAAACTGATCTAAAAAAAGAAGAAATGAAAAATAAATATTGATCTAAATTCTTAAACAAGTCCAATTACTTACAAATATTCAAAGCATTACAAAATCTAATGTAGACTCCAATCTCTGGCCTCAATTAAACATGAATCATAGGTATCATTAGTGCAAAACACTTTCAATCCTGTTACCTTGATTTGCTTTTCAAAAAAAAAAAATCTGCTCTGATTACTTTTAATCTCACAACTCTTATCATATTTTCATTGAAGTCACAAATCCTTCACTCCCTTTGATTCAAGGCATTAAAGATTGGGAAGCGCATAATACTTCATAAGTAATAGTATCCTTTGCTATTAGCAGAGTCCAAAGTCTGACAAAGGGCACTTTTGTAGAAGCAGAGAAATTACTTTACCAAGAGCCAGAAGATTTGACATTTAAAGGCTAAACGATTTGACAGATGGATAAGTAGGTTTTACAGACCAATATAAGTGAATAGACAAATAAATGCATAATAATACTAGCCAACATATAAACAGATAAACATATAACTCACAGGTTTCACAAGCATCTAGCAACTTCCTGAAGATATCAGTTCGCCCTGCCTTGACAGCTTCTTTCAGACTGTCAACAGCATCCAATAATGCTGGTGGCACCTGAACCTCACCCATATCAATGTGTAATCTCCTGAAAAAATATCTATGATGAGTAAATACATACAAAGCCACAAAGACCAAGATTTGTACACACTACTTTCATATTATCAAGGGTTTTATTAATAACAATATCTTAATTTCAAACAAGGAAACTAATACTCCTATAGATATTATTCAAAGAATAATTAATAATTCATTAAACACATCTTGATGACAATTTCACCGTCAACCTTTTCTTTATCTCTTCTATAAAGAATTACCTAATATACTGGACTAATTAATGATACATAGGTGAGTGAAAGAGTCAGAATATCAACAAATAATGAAGACTACAAAACTATCAAACTAACATATCTGACAGTTCTTAAGCTACACAGCTAAAGAACATTCATCAGTATTCCAGGATTTGATATTTTAAGGGATCAAGCCATCTTTTGGAAGCAAACTTCATGTGGTTTTAGGTTCAGTAGTTTTTGAATAAAGTGGTATATACCCTAAAAAGAGGGACTACACATTTTTAAATATCTACAAGCACACAACATGATAGAGTAAATGCTATACATATGTATATCAGATACAATATTATTTAATGTCTGTAAAATCTTAGAATGCATATAATATACATCATGCTAGAACTACAAAAATGAATGATGTCAAAAGCTTGATAAAAGTTCAGAACATATTACTTTAACTCCTCCACCAACAATCATAAGTATATCAAGTGAACCATATTCATGGTGACAAATGTAGAAAAGGTATGAAAGAGAATGAATATCTCTTGTATTGTAAAGATATTCATTCTCATTCATACCATTTGTACTGTATATTAAGTATCGGTACTTTTCTTAGAACATTTCTCAGTACAATTCTCATATATATATACATGTCTAACAAACAATTCTATCTGGCTGGAGCTAAAATTCAGACATTTTTTATTTAAACAATTTGGAGGAAAACTGTTAATTCCCAACTCAATATAAACTCTGGGAATAACATGTTATCTTAGACCTATAGTTAGGCAATTAGATAATTATCATATTCATGTAATGGGTAATAGTCATTTAGAAAGAGAAAAATAGGGTAAGGACAATGAAGTACCAAATTCTAAACTGTGAAGTTGATTTCTCAATGAGAAATTAAAAGTAAAAAGCAATGACAAGGTGATAAGATTTGATGTATAGAATGAAGTCACAGGTGTATTATTTGGGAAAAAAATTCAATCTAACATGATCATGTCGTCTTTTAAGGAATGTATTTCTAGAGTGCATATGACATACTCTGCTGGGGGAAAAAAAATAGTACAAGATCTATTGTCCCAGCGTATAGCTGGTGGACTTTGGTAGCCCTGCCCTTAGCACCAACATCATGGTAGCTACCTCAATTGTGGGACTTAGTATCTGGTGGTTGTGGTCACTTGCCAATAGGTATGTTGAATGTGGGGACAAAGGCTTGGAAATTCTCCAGGATTGCATATGCAGGTTTCAGCAGAAAACATGAATATGAAAAGCAGGATCATTTGAAACTGTTTCCATAACTATTTCATATGTAGCTAATGGGATTTTCAAAGATCATATCAACACAGATATATGCCCAATTAATATTCTCAACAGCAAAACATAAAGCTACTGAAGAAAGGCAATGGCCATAACACAAGACAACAATATTAGTTATAATAAATACACTGCAGAAAGTAAAGTATGGACATAAGTACTTATCAAATCTCATGAACCTATATCTGTACAGGATGACCAGGCAATGCCTCGGACTGTTTCAAACTCCAGCAAAGACCAACAAGTCTCCATCATGTATATTCCAACAATCACCTCAATAATAATAAATTAACTGATAAAGAGCCAGTATAAACTCTAAGTAGAGCTTTGGTTTCACACAGGCAAATGATATGTGATAAACCTCAAGTATAAGGGATACAGTAACAAAACTGAGGACACTTTTCATCTATAATTTTTCCTTTACAAGATGATAATATGATTTAGTATGCATTAATATGACTGCAGTACAAGGGGGATGATCAAATGGCTGTTATACAGAGAGAGAATAAAATACACTTACTGATAAATGAAATAATCTGAACAGGCAAAAAATAATATAAGAAATTAAGAAAATAGGTCATGATAAATGCCATTCTTAGACTAGGTCCAAGGGGATCTGGGGATGCAGTCCTAGGTAGGAAAATACAGTGATTAGGTGGGCTAGAGGAGCGAAAACCCCAGATTAGCACAGATTTTAGTTCATACACTTGTGTTTGTGGATTCCTAAGCGTAGTTAGTTAGATGGTGTTATAGGGACGTGGTCTAAGAAAGTTACTGTTACTTGGTAAACTGCTATAATACTTCCAGTTACTTCCTGAACTAGTCATTTGCGATACTAAATAATAACAGATTTCAATGTATTACAATACAAAAAATTTAGACAAAAAATAATAACAAAATTCCCGTTCTATCTGCAAAACACGCGGTGAAGGTGGTTTATTGGCCTTTGCCAGAGCACAATGTATGGAGGCCATGGCATTGCTTAATGAAATACAGTTCTGAGAAATTACCATGTGCATTGACTCTCCCATGCCATACTCTGCATTCTGACCCATGAGCAACAGTTTCATACTTAAAATAACTTAGCCTTTGAGGTACCCATGCTATACATTCTGCTGCAGTGTCTGAGAATGGTAATGTCCTGACTAATTTCTAAAACAAATAAGCCCAGAACTTACAATTGTTCTCTTTCCACCTAAAGCCCTATCATTTCTTTGACAACGGTAGCTTCAAAGCACAAAATTCACACACTGCAGACTGATAAGTTCACGTCAATCAAAAAATCAAAAATAAATCCGATCCAAAATTAATATATATGAGTGATAAACTCCCTAGAAAACCATGTCAACACCTCCGTTAGAACTCTAAGTTACCTCTAAGCTCAATACCGGCAAGTTACGGAAGTTCTGGAGGGAAAACAACTTAGAAATAGAACTTAGAAATTATAACTTTAGAACTCAGCTGCACACGTCACCTGCAACCTCCCTTTGACGTGTACGATAATTCCTCTTTTTCCAATACTTCTTTTTATTATATTACCTCCTTATTTTTTATCGTGTTCATTTTGTAGGCCTATCATTTACTGGTTAGAGCTTATTATAACTTAAAATTGCCTTCTAAAACACGTAAGAAAATGTTCGATTAATAAATAATTGGCATTTCGCTTGAGGTTATAAACAACATCGCTAAATGTTCTTCTTTTGGTGTTACACTAGACGTAATTTGAGTAGATTTGTGCAGTTCTCGTATATATAGTATACCAGGTAGAAAAAGAAAATATCAAAAATTTACTCGAACTTTGTAATCTGAATCTAAAGCAGCGAATCATTACTCGCATGAAGATAAAGTCACGGCCAGAAAACGAACAAATCAAGTGTATCTGTGAACCGTGAGTTTCATACAAAATATTTGTTTTATTCTAGACTATGATTGCTATACATATATATCTAGCGTCCAATATTTTATAATTATATTAATGTTATAATAAATCAGTATTATGAAACTAGTGCTTCCTAGTTTATACTAGATACAAATATTAATAACTCGTTCACTGTTGCTTAACTTTCAAGTCGATAAACTTGAAATATTCATTTGACCTTACTTGACCTCTCTCAAAACCATTTGGTCTTAAAAGTTATATTCAAAAGGTCAGCAGTGTATCACTGATGTATTAATGCTTTAACTGATTAAGGAAATAACAAATTAACCAGTACTGATGGTAAGTTTTGCACCCTTCAATTGCTGAAGAATATAAATTCCTCAGTAATTGTTAGGTGACAGTGTCACAAAGTAAGTATCATGTATAGATTTGAAAGATATGTAAAGCTAGTAAGAAGTAGTGGTAAAGAGGCAAGGCAGTATCCAAACTTATTATTATTATTATTATCATAAAGATTGGGGTGGTAAACGTGCTGGAATAACATTAATATGCCGTCACATTTTTACAATCTGAACTCACTGCAATTGATATATTTAGTGTCTCGCCTCAAATGGTACAGAAAAATGGATTCATAATCTAAAATGATGGGGTGACACCTGGAGTGGCCA